CGCCACTTCCTGGGAGACTGGCAAGCTGCAGAGCCTCCCCTCTGCGGAAGGTCCCACCCACTGACTGCCGCCCCTGGCAGGGTCCCTTCCCAGAGCTTACACCGTGCCCCACCCAGAGTCTGGGCCCCCGCCGTCTGCCTGTTCTCCTGATCCCTTCCTTCTCAGGCCAGAGTAGTGTGAGAAGCCATGCTCCCGTGTCAGACCAACGCGGGTCTGGCCATGTGTTCCAGTCCCGCCTCTCCTGGCTCCGGGACCTCACACAGACTTGACCTCTCTGAGCTGAGCTGGCCTCCCCTTCTTAGAAAATGGAGTCGTGACTCTGCCAGCTTTGGGTCTCCGAGCTGGCAGAGAGAACCCGTGCCTGGAAAATCCTCAGCATCGTGCCTCCCGCAGAGTGAGTGCCAGTGTCGGGAAGCAGGGCCCGCCGCCCTCCGCATTCTTGGTCTAGTCGCGCCTCCTGCTCGGTCAGACCCGGTGCCGTGCGGCTGCTCAGCAAGCACCCTCCCATCCCATCTCCGGGACCCCACAGGTGTCCCTCTCAGAGGGGAGGCGGTGGTTGGGATTGTTGATCACAGCCTTGCCGGGCCAACCTCTGGGTCCACCTGCCCTGCCAGGCAGGCCCACGCTCTCCCTCACTCGCCACGGTCCCCTCCTCGCTGACAGCCACTTGAACTCCAGCCCCTGCTTGAGTGGGACCTTCAGGGCATTGGACTTGGGAGTTGAGTGAACACGTTTGAGCCCTGACCTCACACACGCACGCACGCACACGTGTCCCCCTGCTCCCGCACATGCGTGTCCATCCGGCCTTGCCAGCCATTCCATCATGGACAGGTGTCTTCTGGGTCCCTGCCTTCCAGTGGGGGTGGGGGGAAACATGGCCATAGGGGCTGGTGGTGCCTGTGCACCCGTGAGGATGCTGAGTGCCGGTCAGGGATGGAGTCGTACTCAGCACAGGTAGCCGAGGAGTCAGTCACCCTCGCCCCATTTTAGGGATGAGGCGATGGAGGCACAGAGGTGAAATCGCTTTGTAATTAAATTAGGAGTCAGGATCCAACCCCAGGCATTCTGGCTCCAGAGCCCGTGTTCTTACCCACTTTGCAAGCCCCTGGGTCTCTGATAGGGAGCGCTGGGTGCCCCACCCAAGAGGATGGGGAAGGGGGCAGCGAGGATTCAGGCACGGTCACTTCAGACAGCAGCCGCGCCCTCACTCCTCCGCAGCCTCTGGCACTGGCAGCTGCGAGGCCAGAAGGGAGCTGCTTCCTGGTGGTGGTGAGGCCTGTGTGGAAGCCCCAGGGTGGATGACCCCAGGCGGGAGGCCCCACGCTGGGTCTGGGGAGCTTTGTCTCTCTCACTCCACAGACCTCAGACCTTCACCGTGTTCTCCCCATTTTGCTGCAGCATCACGAACGAACATATGTGCGGAGGGGCGGGTGCTGGGGTTCTGCTGGCTCATGAAGAGCCCGGCATGGGGCCCGGCACAGCGTGAGCGCTGTCTGAACGCTGCATGGTATTTCTTGGGACCACCTGTGCTGCCGTTTCCTTACTGGTTTTTTAAAAATAGGGTCAGTTTTGTTTTCCTTGAATACATTTCATCTCATTCCCATGCAGTATGGTAGTTTCTTTTGTTAATACATGTATGGGGGCACCTGGGTGGCTCAGTGGGTTAAGCCTCTGCCTTCAGCTCAGGTCATGATCTCAGCGTCCTGGGATCGTGCCCCACATCAGGCTCTCTGCTCAGCAGGGAGCCTGCTTCCTCCTCTCTCTCTGCCTGCCTCTCTGCCTACTTGTGATCTTTGTCTGTCAAATAAATAAATAAAATCTTAAAAAAAAAAATACATATATGAAGCCTGTATACGTATCATATTACCTGTAACGTATTACTGTGAGGCCACTGCCGAGCCACTTGACGCTGCTGTTGGGGTCATCAGGGCGGGTCGGGGGTGCCCTCAGGCTTCTGTGGGCTGGCTGATAATCCCCCCTACCCCCACTCTTGTGCCTTTGGTGTCTTTCCCCAGTGCTGTCCCCTCTCAAAAGTGTCTGCCTCATAGTGACAAACCTGCAGTTGTTACTCGTGTCACCAGGGGGCGCTAAGTCACTCTGGGCCTTAGTGGCTCTCCCACTTCTGGGAATATGTCCACTCTTCCTGATCCCAGTTCTGTTTCGCTTTCTGTAAACAGCTGGGCTGATGAGACCTCTGTGAGCTCTGGCTGTGACCTTGTGTGAGGCTGTGCTGCCTTCAGACCCCACGGACGCCTGGCTGAAGGCGTGGCCGGACAGCAGCTGTGGTTGGGTGTAGAGCTGGCCAGGTTAGAGATCCTGGACTTCAGAACAGAGACCGACCCAGCAGGCAGGGCTGGGATGCTGGATCTCAGGCAACTTCGGGAGCCTGGACAGTCAGGGAGAGCTTCCTGGAGGAAGGGACATCAGAACTGAACACCTAAAGGATTGATTGCAGCTTGAGAGCTTCCTTAGAAGTCTTATTTCCTGTAGGCTGTAGGATGCTGAGAACTGCTAGTGACGGCTCCCCGCGTGCCCAGGCCCTCCCTTCCCATCTTACACGACCAGGCCAATCCAGCCTTGGCCCAGGGGCCTTTCTTGAAGTGAGCTTGCCCAGGGGAGCCTCACCCTTTCTCAGAGTGATGATTTTGTGTGCGGGGTTTTTTTTGTGTTTTTTGTTTTTTGTTTTTTTAAACTAAGCTCTGTGCCCAACATGGGGCTTGAACTCACCACCCCGAGATCAAGAGTCACTTGCTATACCAACTGAGGCCATCAGGTGCCCCTTGGAGTGATTTTTTTTTTAAGATTTTATTTATTTTTTTAAAGATTGATTTATTTCTTAGAAAGAGGCAGAAGGAGAGAGAGTCTCAAGCCGACTCTGTGCAGAGTGCTGAGGCGGATGCGGGGCTTGATCCCACGACCCCGAGACCACGACCTGAGCTGGACGCTTAACCAACTGTGCCGCCCAGGCACCCCTGAAGTTATGAATTTTAAAGGCAAAAAATAAAGTAGGCTTAGAAAGGATATCAGAAACAACTAAAAAAATGTTTTTAATTGCAGCCCAGTGTTTCTCATCTTCCTCACTGGCACGGGGAAGAGCAGACTGGAGCAGCGGCTCTGATGACTGCCATCTCCAGGGTGGTGACGCACGGACACACGTGCAGAAACCGTCACATGATGTGGAAGCACCTGCCATCCCTGTTGACGAGTCTCAGGGTCTGCTAACCACTGCTTCTCTTCTCCTCTCCTCTCCTCTCCTCTCCTCTCCTCTCCTCTCCTCTCCTCTCCTTTCCTCTCCTCTCCTTTCTCTCTCTCTCTCTGTGTTAACCACGTTAATAAGAAGGAAGAGCTGCATTTCATTTCAGTTCACTTAGTGGAAGCAGAGAAGTCATTTCTCTGTGTGGCACCCATGGGACCAGCGGACCCAGCGTGGCTGGACTCTGCGGGGCACCTGCCCGAGCACGGGGGCTGCCTTCCAGGGCCAGCTCCCTCGCTGGGGGCCCCCAGGCGCATGCGCGCACCTCACAACACTCCCTCGCTGGGTCTGCAGGAGGGCAGCTGGCACCCAGGAGGCTGCTGGTCACCTGCAGCTCCACTCAGGAAGGAGGCGAGGGGGGAAGCTGGGGTCTCTGTTCAGTTCTTTCTTCTGGCACCGTGGAGAGAAAGCTCTGGAGCCGAGTGCGGGACTCTGCCCTGTACCAGCTGCCCAGCCTCAGGGAGGCAGCTCTCCTTCCCTGGACCTCGGCTTCCTCCCCTAGAAAACAGGGTAGTGCTTGATGCGATCAGGAGGGAGAGTCCCCTGGGAGATGCTTACCTGGAAGTTTCTCGAGGAGCTCCCGCTGGCTCCCAAAGGCCAGGCCAGGATGGCAGCAGAGTGAGGGGAGGCTGAGGTCATGCAGAAGGCCCTCTTCCTGCTCCATTCCTTGCCTGCCCTGTCTTCCCCATGCCTACTCCATCCTGCTGACGCCAAGAGCTTTCTCAGTCCTAGCGGAACTCTGTCCCTCCCCTTCCTTCCTGTTCTCCCCGTTGTCCTGAGGCAGAATCCAGTATTCGTAGACATACACTGGAAACAGTACGAATGTCTTCTCCAGTGAACAGATAAACAAAACATATACATCAGACTTTTACTGTGCAGCCTTGTAAAGGGGCCAAAACTCAAAATCCTTGTGCTCTGTGAAAGAGGCTAGCCATAAAAGGCCACATACTGTTTATCTCTGTTTCTGCGGAACATCCACAGAAGGCGGATCCGCGCAAACAGACAAGCGGGCCTTGCCTGGAGCCTGGGGGCGGGGCCTGGGCCTCCGGGGCCTGTGCCGTTCGGCCGCTGGGTCTGGGCTGCATCCATTCCTTCTGTGAGCACCGCCTGCTACCCAGGGCTCCCAGGCTGTGCCCCCTGTCCTCTGACGGCTGCATTGTCCCCCAGACTGGAGGCCCCACGCTGAGTAGCTCTGGGGCCGGTGGGGGGAGTCTGAGGCCACGTCCATCACAGTTAAGAGCAGAGTTCAGTTCCCCACTCTGCCACTTACCAGCTGTGTGACCTTGGGCCAGGGCCTTCACCTCTCTGGGCTCAGCTTCGTCATAGCATCCAAGTACAGAAGAAACATTCTCTCATCCAAAAAAAAAAAAAAGAAAAAACCCCGTGGATTGAACACCCTGGCTGGCCAGTGTTGTTGGGACAGGGTGGTGACCAGGATAGACTCAGCCGTGCCCTCCCCATCTAGTGGGGGAGACAACTGACAAGCAGAACTGTGTGATGTTAGCTGTGTGCTCAGTGTGCAGAGCTGCTCGAGGAGCCGTGGGGAGGTGTTTGGGAAGGGCTGACTCATTTGGGGGCCCTGGGGCTACCTCCACAGGGCAGCAGTGGCAGCGAGGGGCCCTCATGGGAGGACAGAACTCAGTGGGTCATCGGAAGGGGTTTTGTTTTGGAGGCTTGGTGTGGGGAGCAGGGGGCAAAGGGGGCCCAGGTGCGGAGCATCACAGGCCTGGGTCCTCTGTGCCTGCAGCCCAGAATGTGACCGTGGATGAGGTCATCAGTGCCTACAAGCAAGCCTGCCAGAAGCTGAACTGCAGACAGATCCCCAAGCTCCTCCGGCAGCTCCAGGTACCCGGCGGGGGCAGGGGGGTGGGTTGCACTCAGAGCGGGGCGGGGGAGGGGAGAGGCAGTCCCCCAACACCCCCACCATGCCACAGCCCCCAGACCTCTGGGGCCGGCCCTTAGCAGGGGAGGGTGCACAGAGCACCCACTGGCCACCTAGCCCAGGGCCCGCATAAACACATCCTTGAAAATCCTCTGTTCAGTCTTAGAAGCGATCAGGCTTTTCATGAGTATTTAAACTGTGTGGAATGATATAAAGTGAGAATTTCAGGTGTCTGTCACTCCCCAGAGAAATTCTGTTCCCTGGGGAAAAGCCATATACACACCTATTCCTTATGATCTCTGTATGTTCTGTATCCATTGTCTAATTTTTTTAAAGTTAAAATACTACAGGCATAAAAAGCAGAATCTACTTCTCATTTTTTACTCAAGCCCCATTTCCCGGGTGTCCCGCTGTTGACAGCTTGAGGTATTCATCCTCTGGCCCTGCCTGTGCGTCTGTTAGGGGGCAGCTCGCCGTCCAGAAGCACACACACCCGAAGACAGGTTCTGTGTCTGCGGAACGGGTGCTGCTGTGCCCGTGGTGTGTCCCCTGACGCTGTGTCCCACGGGTGCCTTTACTGCTGCCTGCCTGGCCTGGGTGTGTTGGTAAAGCACCACCTTAGTGCCTTCCCTCCGAATGGGTCATTCCAGAACGTTCCGAGGTTGCTTGTTTCTAGGGTTGTCGGTTCCTCAGATGGCACTGCTCTGAGCAGTCATGCTTGCCACCTGGCTCTGCCCCTGAGGTGAAGGGTTCTTGGGGTGGGGGCGGGAATGCCCAGGAGGAGCTGTGGGCAGCTTCAGGGAAAGCGTGGTCGCCAGGAGTGTCGATCCGGGGGCCCTCGAGCCAGATCAGACCAGCCTGTCCCTCACCAGCACATGGACTTGGGTGGGGCTGGCCCGTGGCCATGTGTGTTCGCGGCTTTGTCCCAGCACATTCCACACAGGTGAGTGTGTGGAGCCCAGAGAAGAGAACCTGGCACCCCGTGGGGGGTGGGGCCGGGCAGCATCTGCCTTCGCCCCTCTTCACTGAGTGCTCTCTGTGTGGGGCCTGGCGCCCACCCAGCACCGCAGGCCTGCCAGCCCCCCTCACCTTCGTTCCTGCTCCACGGCCTTTGTGCTGGTGGCTCCTTCCTGCCTAGAATGCTCCATTTGGCCTGTGGGTACAGAACGCCCCACTCTGTGAGGCCCTGCGTGCCGCCCCTGCCCCCAAACACTGCCTACGGAGCCAGATCGGACCCCCGCCTTTCCCACGGTCAGGGTCCAGCCTGGCTCTGGAGGGTGCCTTCCTGCCTTCAGCACTGACCCCTCTGTTTTCTCAGGAGTTCACAGACCTCGGACACCGCATCGACTGTCTGGACCTGAAAGGTGCGTGTCTGGACAGAGGCCAGGACCCCTGGGTAGTGGGCAGGGCCAGAGCCTTCCCGAGGTGGGTGTGGGCCGGCAGGTGCTGCCATGAGAGCTGCTTAGCCAGGGGCAGTGGGGGTCCTGAGAGGTGTGGGTGCCCTCCCTGAGGGGAGGCGGGTGCAGTGAGCCCTCCCTTCTTCCCTCCGCCTGGAGCCCCCGTTTCCAGCCACCCCCCCCAGGCACACAAGCATGCATAGAGATACACTCCATCTCGTGCCAGGTGAGAAGCTCGACTACAAGACCTGCGAGGCCCTGGAAGAGGTCTTCAAGAGGCTGCAGTTCAGGGTCGTGGATCTGGAGCAGACGAACCTGGATGAGGATGTGAGCAGACCCTGCCACTGCCATGACCCATCCCTGGCCCCTTAGAGGTTTAGCGGGAGGGGGCCCTGCAGGACACAGGCTGGGCAGGGTCTCTGGAAGGACAAGATGAGGAGACAGCCGGTGTGACCAGAGTGGATGTGGTCAATATTGGGGTTCTGGGGCAGGGCCCAGTAAAGGGGTCTCATAGACCCACCTCAGAGGCAGGGAGGGACTTGGGGAGCTGGGCCTTGGTGGGAGCGAGGGAGGGGTGTGGCCACCAGAAAGCTTTTCAGGACCCCCCCGCTAGAGATCACAGCACCTGTAAGGGAGAGTTTGAGAAACTTACAGAAAACAGCCTCTCCGTTTAGGCCCAGGTGTCCTCACCACCCCAGACTTGGAGACCACCAGGAGACCCAAGGGGTGGGGTCCTGGAGAACTGAGGCCCGGGCACGCCAGGGGCCCATCCTGGTTCTGGGGTGTATGGGTCTGCCTGCTGGCGGGGGTGGGGTGACAAGTAAGAGAAGGCAGATGGCCTGCAGCAGGAAGGGCGAAGATGGTTCCTGGAACCCAGAGGTGCTGGGACAGCATCAGGGCCCTCCCGATCCCTTAGTTGCTGGGCCCCCTGGGTCTGCCTCAGCCTGAGTCTAAACCTCGTTGTCGGGGCCCCTGGGTGGCCCGGTCAGTTAAGCATCTGCCTTTGGCTCAGGTCATGATCCCAGGGTCCTGGGATTGAGCCCCGCATTGGGCTTCCTGCTCCGTGGGGAGTCTGCTTTTTCTTCCTCTGCCATTCCCCCTGCTGGGCTCTCTCTCTGGTTTTCAAATAAATAAATAAAACCTTCTTAAAAAGTAATTAAACCCCCATTGCCTCGGCCCCCAGGGTGCTTCGGCCCTCTTTGACATGATTGAGTACTACGAGTCAGCCACCCACCTCAACATCTCCTTCAACAAGCACATTGGCACCCGGGGCTGGCAGGCCGCTGCCCACATGATGCGCAAGGTGGGCGCCTCTCGTCTGTGGCCTCCCCGGGGTAGATGGGGCTCAGCCACAGGGGGTCCAGGAGCTTTCGCACGACACGTGTCCCTTAGGGCCTGGTTTCCTGAGCCCTCAGTATAGTCTGTTGTCCCCGTGCTAAGGTGTGCCCTGTCTCAGGCCAACCCTGGCTCCTTTTCTCCCTTCAAGCATCTTTCTCTTCCTTCACTTGCTGTAACCTATCCCTGGGGGGGTGGCTGTGGCTGCCCCCCTCCCACCGCCATGTCCACGACATCTGCCGCAGGGGAGTCTGGGAGCCCAGCTGTTACTAGCCCTGCCTGCTCACAGGCAGGACCCCAGGCCGGGCCGTCCCTCACAGACACAGTTGCCCTGCTTGCCGCTCGGTGGGACGTGGGGTGGGACTTGGGAGGTCCCCTGGGGCCCAGGAGGGCTGGGCCAGCCTGTCCCAGCCCTGACCCGCCCCAGCAGACGAGCTGCCTGCAGTACTTGGACGCCCGAAACACGCCCCTGCTGGACCACTCCGCGCCCTTTGTGGCCCGCGCCCTGCGTATCCGCAGCAGCTTGGCAGTGCTGCATCTGGAGAATGCCAGCCTGTCGGGGCGGCCCCTCATGCTGCTTGGTGAGCTCCGGGACCCAGGGAGGTGGCGCAGTGACGTGCCGCGGGCTGGGGCTCGGCCAGTCACCGTGCTCCTCCCGCACCGCCCCCCCAGCCACGGCACTGAAGATGAACGTCAATCTTCGGGAGCTCTACTTGGCCGATAACAAGCTCAACGGCCTGCAGGACTCGGCCCAGCTGGGCAACCTGCTCAAGTTCAACTCCTCCCTGCAGATCCTGGATCTCCGGAACAACCATGTGCTGGACTCAGGTGCGTGAGCGGCCTGCCCACGCCCACCCCACTCCAGCCGCCGAGCACCCGCTGTGCCCAGCCGGGGGCCCCACAGTGCTGGAGACATGGTGGTGGCCAGGACGATTGCGGCCCTGCCCTCATGGGGCTCACAGTCCAGGAGGGAGGATAGACCATTCCCAGGCGGTGACAACTCCAACTGGGCTAGGGCTGGGCTGTGGGAGCCCAGGGAGGGCGTCCTAGAGGAGGTGCAGGCCAGTGAGAATCTGCAGGAGGAAGTGAGGTGTTGAAGAGATCATGAAAATAATACCCTCTGGAAAGAGTGTGCTGAAGGAAACAAGGTTGTTGGGACAGAGGGTCAGGTAGAGGCTAAGATGGTGCAGGGAGGTCACCTCTGGGTGGCAGTGAGGAGGACGAGAATGAAACCAGGCCTTTTAAAAGCCTGGGAAGGGGCATCTGGGTGGCGTAGTTGAAGCTGCCGACTCTTGGTTTTGGCTCTGGGTGGCAGTGAGGAGGACGAGAATGAAACCAGGCCTTTTAAAAGCCTGGGAAGGGGCATCTGGGTGGCGTAGTTGAAGCTGCCGACTCTTGGTTTTGGCTCAGGTTCCCCATGTCAGGCTTCGTGCTCAGCATGGAACTTGCTTAAGATTCTCTCCCTCTCCCCTGCTCCACCCCACTTTCTTTCTCCAATAAATTAATCTTGGAAGAAAACAAATAAATAAACAAAAAAACGCCTGGGAAAAGAATCCAGGCAGAGTGGATAGCAAGTACAAAGGCCCTGAGGTGGGAAAGAGCCTAGATAATTGATGTTTGGGGTAGGGGAAGCCGCGATGGGTTAAAGGGTAAACGGGAAGGGAAAGGAAATAGCTGGTGGTAGGAGCTCCAGTTTCCTCCTGGTTCCCTGTTGAACAGGTCTCCAGGCCTCAGTGTGAGGAGAGGGCTCAGGGACAGCCTAGGGCGTCCAGGCCAGTCCCTTCCTCCAGGATGGCCAGGCCCAGACTCCACGTTTACTGAGCACCTAGCACGTGCTGGGCCTGTAGAGACAGAGATCTCTGCCCTTGGGAGAGACGTTGCAAGATAAATTAATAGAATATGCCACCTGTGAGATGTGCTCTGGAGAGAACAGAAGCAGCAGTGGCAGCTGAGCTGGCTGGGGAGTGTTGTGCAGGCTGATGTCGAGCAGAGATCTGAAGCAGACGGAGGGATGTTCTGGGCCTGGGCACCAGGGAGCCGTGGGTGTTGGACCGAGGCAGGAGGTGGCTGGGGCCAGAGTGGTGGGGGTAGGATCTGCATGCTCCTCGGGTGGCAGTGGTTCCCACACCACTGTCCCCTGGAGAAGTGCTCGGACCACAGCGGGCACTTGCCCACGGGCCCTCTCCAGGTCTGGCCTACATCTGCGAGGGCCTCAAGGAGCAGAAGAAGGGGCTAGAGACCCTGGTGCTGTGGAACAACCAGCTGACGCACACTGGCATGGCCTTCCTGGGCGTGACGCTGGTGAGTCGGGCGGGGAGGGGGAGAGCGCCATCCTCTGCCTCCCTCGCGCTCACCTTACACTGCAGGGACCCTTTGCAGGCCTCCTTTTGGCACTGGGTGCCCTCCCTCAGCTTCCCCAGCCTCTCTGTCCTAAGGGAAGTAGCCTTTCTCACTTTATCCTTGTCTTCCCACGTCTGGCACCATGGCCTAGTGTCACACTGCACACAGGGTGAAAATGTTTTGCATAGAAAGTTAAATTTTCTGGAAGCCTTCAGCACATTTTACATCTTTTTACCTAAATACATGGTATTTAAAGCAAGCTCACAGACTACAAAGACTCACATCTACGTTAAGAATGACCAACGGGAGGTGTGTGCCCTGAGCCCTCGGGATGCTGGCCGGGCCTGGGCTGGGGGGGTGGACAGGGCAGCTGGCCCTGGGGTGACGAGTCCACGAGCATCTGGCCTTAAGCAGGACTGTCGGGGTGGCGCTGCCCGAGAGGGAGTGCTCGGGTTTGTGTCTTTCCTGATCGGCCTTCTGGGCCTTTCCTTACTCTCACGCGCCGCCCCCTCCAGCCTCACACACACAGCCTGGAGACACTGAACCTGGGCCACAACCCCATCGGGAACGAGGGCGTGCGGAACCTCAAGAACGGCCTCATCAGCAACCGCAGCGTGCTGCGCCTTGGCCTGACCTCCACCAAGCTCACGTGCGAGGGTAGGGCGTGGGGCCGGGTGGGGGGAACAGTGCAGGTGGGCTTGGTGGGCGGCTAGCCCGTGGCCAGCCCCTGCGGTCCCCCTCCCAGGCGCGGTGGCCGTGGCAGAGTTCATCGCTGAGAGCCCCCGCCTCCTGAGACTGGACCTTCGGGAGAACGAGATCAAGACAGGCGGGCTCATGGCACTGTCCTTGGCCCTCAAGGTGAACCACTCACTGCTGCGCCTCGACCTCGACCGTGAGCCCAAGAAAGAGGCGGTGAGCTGAGTGGGATCTTCCCCCGAAGCCTCTGGGGTCAGGGGGAGCGGGGGTGCAGGCCGGCCCAGGGCGAACATGGGCTCCAGCACAGGGACGGGCTGTCCAGAGCCCGAGCCAGGCCCACTCCACCTGCAGGTGAAGAGTTTCATCGAGACGCAGAAGGCGCTGCTCGCAGAGATCCAGAACGGCTGCAAGCAGAACTTCATGCTGGCGCGCGAGCAGGAGGAGAAGGAGCAGCGGCTGCAGCTCTCCGCCTCCATGCCTGAGATCACCGTCACCGAGCCCCAGCCCGACGAGGAGCCCGGGGACGAGCCCACCACCAGGGCCCAGGAGAACGGGGCCACGGGCCCTGGTGCCAGGCCGGACTCAGACTCAGACTCAGACTCCGAGGAGGAGGATGGGGAGGAAGAGGATGGGGAGAGGGCTGAGGCCCCCTGCCCCGCCCTGGTGCCCCCCTCGGACTCCCTGGGCTCTGGGGACAGGAGCCCCCCAGGCAGCCCCTCCTCCCCCACCGAGCAGCGTATTTCTGTGTCCAGCCCAGGCCGGGGCCACAAAGTGTTTGTGGTGACTCGGGTGGAGAGTCCTCCCGAGAGGGCAGAGCCCCCGGTTCCCCCCGTCCCTCTTTCCCCCCCTGCTCCTGCTTGTCCTCCCTCCCCACCTGCTTTATCCCCCCCGCCCACCTCACCTGCCCTGCCACGGGCTGAGGCCGTCGGCACTCGGGACCCAGGGGTGTTGGAGCCTCAGTCACAGCTGGAGCTGCCTCAGTCAGGGTCACCGCTGCCCAACGGCCTGAAGCCTGAGTTTGCCCTCGCACTGCCCCCAGAGCCACCCCCGGGACCTGAGGCCAAGGTGGGCAGCTGTGGCCTGGAACATGGTGAGTTGGGGCTCCAGGGCAGGGTGACAGTGGGCCCTGGGTGCGGTGTGACCCCAGGCAAGCACCTGCCCCTCGGTGGGCTTCAGTGTTCCCTGGGAATGGGTGAGAACGAGGAGGACTTGATCTTCGGCCCCCACCTTGCTTCCCCTGGGACGGAACAGGCAAGATGTGCTGACTGGAGTCTGACGGTCTCAGTGGTACCCAGGCCTTGTGCTGCCCTGAGGGTCAGACTTGGGCAGGGCTGGTGGGGATGTCCTGGGGTCCCCCCATCCCCGCCTGCCTGACTGGAGGTTGGTCGCCCCTTCTCCCATCACAGAACTGAGCTGCTCCAAGAACGAGAAGGAGCTCGAGGAGCTGCTTCTGGAAGCCAGTCAGGAATCTGGGCAGGAGACACTGTGACACTTTAGGTGAGGTGGGGACAAGAGCCAGAGGGCAGGGGTTCTGGGGGCTGGCAGTAGAGCCCCTGGCTCTGACAGGCCCTCCCCCCTCTTCTCCCCAAGTTCCTTTTTTCCGGTCAGTCTTCGATGAGCTGAGGCCAGAGCCATGAGAATCTGCTCATCCTCATCCCCAGCCCCAGCCTTCCTGAGGCCTGGGCCACCAGGGGTGTGGGGGGCCTTTCTGGGGACCCCTGCCCCCCACAGCAACACTACACAGAGCGCAGGAGCCGCAGGGATTGGCCTCCCTGCCCTGTCTTAAGCACTATCTCTGTGTCCAGCACTCGAAGGCTCTGGGCTGGGGGGATGGGAGGAGCGCTCTCTCCGAGGACATCAGCCACAAGGCTGGACGCCTTTTCCAGATGGCCTGTTTGGCCAGGCTTGCCCCGTGGAGGGCAGGAGTCCTGGGTGGTGGTGGGATGGCCCCCGGTGTCCCTGGGTGCAGGGCCAGGCAGGAGGCATGACAAGGGAGGGGCGGTGAGCGGTGGTGGTGGAAATTGGTAGAGCAGCCCCAGGCAGGGTGAGGGCCAGGGCTGGGGGTGGGGTGGGGGGGAGCTGGGAGCAGAGGATCAGAGCTTTCTTTCTCTTAAGTGCAATAAATCTATCAGGGAGCTGGGGTGGGGAGCAGCCAGGGTTCTAGAGACCCTGCTGTCCAGGCCCCTTGAAGCTGCGCCCTGAGAGGCACTACAACCCGTGGGGGGGGGGGGGGGGGGGGGGGGGGAGGGGGGGGGGGGGGGGGGGGGCTACTCCTGTTGGTGCAACTCTGTTCACACCTTTTCTAATAAACCAGAGCTGGGTTCACCACACTTGCCTGCTCTCTGCTTGTGCCGATCTGCAAGGTTGAGGGGTGGGGGAGTACCCCCTGCGGGAGCTGTGAGCCCAAGGAGCTGGGAGGGCAGGGGCCAGCCAGCTCCCAGGACCATCTGCAGGGCTCATGCGAGGGGAAAGCAGGGAGGCCGGGAAGGCAAAAGCCACATTTCCCACCACGCTCCCTGCCCCGGTGCACTCCCCCGCAATTTTTTGGCTGTGTCTGTGCCCCTGTACCTCCCCTCTCAAACAGTTCACAGTCCTGTTTCTCCAGAGGGAAGCAACCCCCCAGATACCTTCTAGCATCAGGCCTAGGCTCCCAGGGTGCGATGGAGATGAGCCGCCACGGCTCAGGGGGACTAGGCCCCAGCTTTTGCCCCCAGAGGCCGTAGATGCTCCACGTTTCCATGGGCATGTGGCCCTGCCGACACATTTTCAGACGTCAGGCCTTGGAACAGAGAGAACACATTTCTGTGCTAAGCCACCCAGACAGCCCTGGAGCTTGTGAAGACACTGCGTCCATTCTGTGACTGGGCTAGATGTAAAGATCTCGGTGCCGCAGCGTGGGAGATGGTATTTCCACGCTCCTCCCGGGGGCCTGGGGTCCACAGCCATGCTCCTGGCCCACAGCCGTCTGCTGGCTAGTTAGCACCTGCCTACGCCTGCTGCTAGTCTGTCGGCCTGGACTGGAGGTGGTGAGAAACGGAAGCCCGAGCCAAATGGGCTGAAGGGAGGCCAAAGGGAAGGGACTTAACCGGCCCCAGTAGGACGCCTGTAGACACCAACCTGTCACGGGGACCACGTGTCTCTGAAGGGCATTGTTCTTGGGCAGGCCCCCCGCTGCCATTGGAGAACCTCTCCGGGTGGGTGCAGGTTTGTCCCACCGGCTTGGCCATGCAGCTAAGCTGGCCGCCCCCACGGAAGTCACAGGCCAGCTCTCCGCCCTGGGTCCGCTTGGAGGCCATCCCTGGCCCGTGGAGCAGAGCTGTCAGTGAGCCCTAATTAATTCATCACACCAGACCGGAGCCACCCCTTGAGTGGAGCAACCTGCTGAGGTCACCGGGACACCACCCTCAGAAATGCCAGCTCCTGCCCTCCCTGCACTGGGGCAGGCCAGGGCGTGGGGACAAGGACCTAGATCCCCTGAGGCCTAGGCGCTCTCCATTGCCTGAGTCAACCCAGCACATCCGTCTTCCCCTGCCTCAGTGGCCTCACCCACCACCCCCGCAACGCCTCCTGCCACCGGGGAGGCCAGCAATGAGACCGCCTGCTAAGGCTGCCCGACTCCCTAGGGGTGACAGGGCTTGGCAGGATGGGGCAGGAAGCCCAGGACACGGAGACCAACAGGGGCTTTCACATCTCCATTTATTGCACTTGAACCCGGGGTTCTTCACTGGTCCTCTGGCGCTAGCTCTCCGATGCTGGCTCTGTTCGCTGCAACCACAAACAGCTCTCTGTGGCTCACAGGTTCACCCGGAGGGGGTGGGGGTGGCCACCACTGGCCTCCCTGCAGACCCCCTTGCCCCCTCTTCCGGGCAGATGGAGCAGCGGTTCCCTCCCGCTGCTCCTGGGGAACTCTTTCAAGGCCCACCTGGGCTGTAAGGGTTCTCAGGCCACAGGTCTTGGCTTGCCTCCATGCCCCTGGTCCCAGGGCTGGTGGGCTTCGCCAGCGTGCGCTGGCACATGCCCAGAGCCCTGACCTGACTGGAAGGCCCCGGGGGCATGGTTGGCCCCGGGGGCATGGTTGGCTCCGCCGGCATCGCGGGGGCCGTCGTGGGCCGGGGACTTGGGCGGGCTGGGCGGCTTGAGCGCACTGACCGCCCGGATGAGGCCCATGCGGCGGCGGATGGAGTGGTCCAGATTCACGGTGCAGCGCAGCAGGGTCTGTGCCTCGGCCACGGTGAAAGGGAAGTCGGAGCCCAGGAAGCGTTCGAAAAGCTCGGGGTCACCGTCCAAGTCCAGCACGTTCTGCAACGCCTTGGTCATGGAGTGCAGCTCGCGGCTGTTGTCGCAGAACACGTTCCAGAGGCGCGCTCTGGCCTCGGGCGCGCCCCCCGCCTGCTGCCGGTCCTCCAGGCACTGCAACACCCAGCTGAGGCGGCACGGCCACTGGTTGGCCAGCACGACCCAAGCCACGGCCTGTCGCGGCGTGGGGCCCGCGAAGTCCCCGTCCTGCTGCTGCAGCAGGCGCACGGTGATGGGCACGGTGTTGACGATGCGCCGCATGGACACCACGTTGTCGGGCACGTACTCATAGAGGCAGTCGCGCTCGTCGTGCAGGCAGAAGAGCGCCTCCTGGATGCGGCGCGCAGCCTGGGCGTCTATGCGGCTCTGCGCGCGCTCGCTAGCCGCCTGCGTCTCCACGGCCAGGAGCTGCGCGCCCTCGCCGCGGCCGCCCCTGCCACCCCCGCCGCCCCCCGCGCCGCCCGGCCGCAGCTTGCGCGTCATCTCGCGGTAGAGCAGGTCGTCGCGGCTCTGCACAGCGTCGTGCAGGAACTGCAGCTTGGTGCGGCGGCCCATGATGGGCACGGAGAAGGGCAGCGTGACGGTGCGGTTGAGGAAGAGGTAGCCGTTGTCCGCCGTGCCCTTCATGGAGCCGGCGCTCTCGAGGCACGCGGCCAGGATGCTGGGGTCCACCACCAGGATGAAGATGAAGGGCGCGTGGCTGTCGGACAGCAGCGTGTTGATGGCGTTGAGCACGCCCACCACGCGCTCCGGGTAGCACGTGTCCAGCCCGGTGACCTCGAGCACGACGCGCAGCCGCCGCCGCTGGTAGATCTCCAGGAAGCACAGGAAGTCCGTGAGCAGCTCCACCTCCTTCTTCACCTCGCACATGAAGCCCAGCTGGCTGCCGAACTTCTCGCGCGACACAAGCCGCTCGATCTTCTTGCGCTGGCTCACGAACAGGTGCTTGCCCACCGAGTACACGGCCATGAGCAGCCCCGAGCCCGACAGCGTGGTGGCCGCGCCGCCGAACACCCGCAGCAGGCTGCCGCCGGCGGCGCCATGGCTCGGGGCGCGGGCGCCCACCGACAGGTAGAGCAGGCCCACGCCGAGGCTGAGCGCCGCCAGCAGCGCCAGCAGCGCCAGGCACACGCGGCGCCGGCAGTGCCACTCGCGCTGGCAGAAGCCCGGCGTGGCGGCCGGCTTGTTGCCCAGCACCGAGTACACGCTGAAGGGCAGCGCGCCGTAGTGGTGGCGGATGCCCTCGCACAGCGTGGTCACCAGGCCAGCCCACAGCTTGTCCGTGCCCGCGTACTGCCAGGCGCTGAAGCGGATGAAGAGGAACTTGACGTTCTTGCGGCGCAGGTGCAGCTCGGTGATGACAGGCTGCAGGAACACCAGGTACCAGAGCAGCCGCGGGAAGCCCCAGCCGCGCACGGGCCGCGGCTGCCACCGCACGCGCCGCAGCTCCTCTGCCTCCCGCTGGGCCGCCTCCTGCTGCATCAGCGCTGCGGGGAGGGAAGGGGGGGGGTTAGGGCGCGCGCGGCACGGAGCGACCGGCGGGGCGGCGCGGGGCCGGGCCGGCACGGAAGCTCCGGCGGCGGCGGCGGGGGAAGGGGCAGGTCTGGGGGCGGGCCCGAGGTCCGAGGTGGGCAAAAGCAGTGCTCCGGGAGGAGAAAGGACCGAAGGGGTGAGGGAGGAAGCCTCAAAGGAAGGAAAGCATGCGTGCGAGGGGCTGAGGAAGCGAAAGGCTGGGCAGCAGAGTCTGCTGCCCAGATCAGCCTGTGTCTGATCTTCCTGGCTTAATGCTCCTCCTCCTCCTCCAGGAAGCCCTCCCTGATCCCCAGGCTGGGTCAGGTGCCTCCTGGGCTCCCCCACCCAGTGGGTCATCACTCTCTGGGGCCAGGTTTGTCTTCCTCTCTGGCCTGTGAGGCCAGGAAGGGCAGGGCTCTTGGTCATCCTGTGTACTCTGGGCACCAAGGAAGGGTTGGGGAATGTCTGAAGGATGGATCACGAGAGGCTGGGGCAGGGTCCATCTGCTATTGAGTGAATGAATGAATGGAAACGCCTAGCACTGGAGGAGGAGGTCCAGAATGCTGTTTGCTTTTGCCTTATAACCGGGAGTTTTGTCCCGGGACGCTGTTTATCGCTCTGTGACAACACAGGAGCAGATGGAGGCTTGTTTGGTAGGTGCTCTGGCCACAGTCGGGGCTGGGGTCTGAGCAAAGCTTAAACCAGGTCCGAGCTGCTCTGGACCCTGGCCACCTTTCGGCCCGTGTGATGGGTTAACCTCTACCTGCTGGGGCTCCTGTGGGCACCGGGCCCTGGGCCAGTGCTGAAAAGATGTGGGTCTGGGTGATTCCTTGGCATGGATCTGGCAGGGGAGGGGATGGGACTGTTGCCCAGGAGGCCAGAGAGGAAATGAGCAGTGACATGGAGACAGAGGCTGTGGGCATCAGGAGGAACCTGGTTAAAACTGACTTACAGGCATCTGGACTGGGACCCAGCTGGCCTCGGGAGTGAGCAGGACTGGGGGTAGCCTGAAGCTGGGCAGGAACCAGGGCCTCCGTTTCCCTTACTCCCACTTCCCCCAGTACACACAGAGCCTCACCAGTGATCTTGTCCAGCATCATGTGCAGGCGGCAGCCAAAGGGGGCGTAGAAACCCACGGTCACAGGGACAGGCACGTGGCAGAGTGTCTTGGCCAGACAGCTGCAGTAGACATCATCTTCTGTCAGGATATCTGAGGGCCAGGTTGGGGAAGGGGGAAGGAGGGGAAACTGAGTCAGCGAGGCTGGCCAAGCACCACCCTCCTCCCGCCCGCCCGCCACAGAGCCCACCCTCAGCCCCTCCCTCCGCCGGTACCCCTCTGCCTGCAGACGGAGGTTTCTGGGGCAGTAGCCACGCAACTCCCTTCTCTGGGGTCTGATGTGTCCCTCTGAGCACCCCAGGAGGAGCTGACCCCAGATCCACCAGGTCAAGGCTGGGAGGCTAGACTGCCCACTGACCCCCAGCACAGAGAGGCCCAAGGGATTTGGGCTGATCGGGCCGGCCCTAGGTCACTAGGTTCAGCCTCCAACCCATGGTTCCCCTGGAAATTTCCCATGGGCCTCTCTTGGGACTTGAAGCCCTCAGATGCTTAAAGTGCCTCTTGGCACGCCCCAGAAGTTTCTCGTGTCAGTTCCTGCCTGCGTTGCTAGCCTGACTCCAGGGCAGACAACCCCGGCTCCTCTCTGCTTCCTGTCCATCCCTCGGCCCTGACCTCACTCCCTCTCTATAACCCCATGCCGACTGCCTCTCATCCGCCCCGAGCCCAGGCAGACCCGCCTCTTGGGCCTGGCTATGCCCCCTTTTCTGCATGAGCCCCGAGAGCCTCAGTCCTTCCCTATGAAGAGGAGGTACAGAGACACCAGGCAGCATGGATGCCAAAGGGTCAGGCCTGGGGTGGGCCCTTGGTCAGTGCCATGGTCTGGAATGACTGTTTAGGGAGCAAATTCAAGTTGAAGTCCTTGTACCACGCACCAAGCCTCACAGTGTCCACTCGGCTGAGGACATCCTGCCCCCTCCCCGGGGGCCCCCCACCAAATGCTACTTCTTTGAATGGAATTGGGGCACCAAAAAGGAAGGGCTCAGCTCTGGGCAGCCCTGGGCCAGCCTCCTGGTTCGTGTTGGGGATAATACACCTGACATCCCCAGGGGCCTGGGGGGCTGGGGGATCCCTCCCTCCTGGAGGGTCAGGGCCTGGCCTGGAGGCACGGAGGGCAGCAGGAGGGCCCAGCAAGATCGGCCAAGTGGGGGTGGCCCCTGGGCAGCTCTGACCCCACTCTTCCTGGTGGCTGGGTGACCTCACCTCACTGGGGCTCTGCTTCTGCATCTAAAATGGACAGCGGAGCCCAGAGCCTGCAGGGATGAGGGGCCACCTGACCTGGAGCCCGAGTCCCTGTTCAACGGTTGCTCTCCTTTCAAGGCAGACCTGGAAACCAGCCATGTGGCCCCACGCCCCGCTACTAGCACCTCCCCCCACAACTCCTGCTTCCCATGCTCCACACTCCTGTTAGATCCCATGCCAGCTCACGTTCCTCGTGGCTCCCACTTACCCCAGGGCCCAAAGCCCCAGCCCTCACAAGGGTCCCCGGGGTACGGCCCCATCTGGCCCTCCCCACACGCGGACCTTTTCACGGTCCCGGTCCCAGGAGCAGGCCCATCCTGCCGCGACTTTGCTCAAATGTTGCCCTAACGGCAGCTTGCCTGATCGGTGACCCGATGTAATTTGCAAACCCTGTCATGCCCTTACCTCTGCTGCTGTTTGCCCCCAGCGTAGTTATCACTGGGTGACACACTAAAATTCTGGCTTCCTGCACCCACCTCCCCGCAGCGCTCTGTGGAGACAGCAGGTGCTGCCCTGCTCCCTGCAGTCCCCAGCACCCCCCCCCCACACGTCCAATACCTAGTCACGGGACAGATAGATGGATGAATGAGTGAGTGAGTGAGTGAGTAAAGAGATCCCTCGCCCTTGCCACATCGTTCTTTCCAGCCCCTAGGCCACTCCCCCACCGCTGCCCCTCTCTCCCATCCCCGAGCTGGCCAGCAAGCTTGCTGCTGTCACCCACCCTGCCCCAAGTCCTCTCTGGTCCCCTGGACTGGGGGTTCAGGGCGGGGCGGACCAGGCAGAGAGAAAGCAGAGTCAGGCTGTCAGCAGAGGGAAACAGCCTGGGCCCGGACCCACCCGCTAGCCCAGGACGAGGCACCAGGGACACACCTGGCCTGGCAGCTTTGGACAGGTAAAGCAACAGGTGAAACAGAGGCAGCTGCCCAGGGGGCCCAGAGTCAAGGGCAAGCACCCTCCCAGACAGGGAGCAGAGCGAGGAGGGCAGGCCGAGGGGCCAGAGGCCCGGGCGGGTAGAGAGGCAGCGGGGACAGAGCCCAGGGGAAGGCTGGGTGAGCACCAGAGCTGTAGGTGAAGGGGCCACAGGCCGCGGGGGCAGGCGGGGGGGGGGGGGGGGGGTGTCTGCTGGGCTCCAGGAGGGTGCCAGCTGCAGAGCGTGGGGCCGGGCCGCTGCTGGCCATGGCAGGTGCCGCGGGGGGCGAGATGGTGGGCTCAGGGGGCAGCTGGGGGGCGTTGGCCGGCTGCCTGGAGGCCGCAGCGGTTGCAGGTGGCCCCTTCCGGGCCCCTGGACCGGAGCAGAGCCGCTGCCGCAGGGGGCTGGGAGGCAGGCCCTGGCGGCAGCCGCTGACACCCCCCCGGTGGCTGTGGTAGGCCAGCTGCCAGCACACCTGTGGGGGCAGCCGACAGGGCCCGTGGGCGCGAAGGGCCGCTGGGTCATGGCACCACTGGTGACGGCATCCTGGAAGGAAGGAAGTGGGGGTGACTGGGCCTGGGTCCCTGACCCCTGGGGGGCACTGGCAGGAACCAGGTCCGAGGCTTCAAGGGGAGGCTGGGGCTGGTCCCTCCACAGAGGCCCCAGAGAAATCAGAGAAAATGAGGAGATATGGGTTGGGGGGCAGTCTCTGTGCTCTGTTGGGGCTGCAGAGGAGAGGGGCAGAGGCCTGGGCTTAGCCAGGTGAGGGGCTGGAGTGGGAAAAATGCCTTGGAGTCCTTGAGGGGGGTGTCCCTCCAGTTGGGGGCGGGCAGAAAGGAACCCATCAGGAACTGGCCTGGTAGGTCCAGAGGAGTCTGGGGTGATGGGAGGTGGCCATGGAGAGGGGACAGGGTGGGGACTGAAGGGGGTGGGCCTCGTACCCAGAATTGGGCAAGGCTGGTGGGAAGGAGGGGCTTCCCTGGGAGGCGGGGACCTCAAGAGGCTGAACTGGCCCCATGGGAGGTAACTGTCAGCACCCCTCACCCCCCCAGTAGGAGCACCTGTGGTCACCACCCCCTGGAAACTGTCCCCCCACTCATACACACTCAGCAGTGGGGGGAGCTTGCTCTCTCTCCACACCCCCCCCAGGTTGGGGTGAAGCCCTCACAGGCCCCGCGATTTGGGGTAGGGGCATCTTACCCATGCGGCGACGGGGAGGCTAGGCTGGGTGGGCCCCCTGCTGACATTCCCATCTGGGGTCACACGTGCGGGCTCCCTGGGGCCTGCACGCCCCCCACCACGACCCCTTTATGTGGGGAGTGCCGGGAGCTCCTCTCGCCTGGGGCCTGAGGTTCCCTTTCTGCTCGACCATCCCCTCAGCAGCCCCCCACTCACAGGCCACACTCCCTGCAAGGACTGAAACCCTACCTTTTTGCTGCCCCAACTCTGGGTCCAAGAAGTAGCCCTCAGTGGGGGTCCGAAGGGGCAGGGCGCCCTTGGCGAAGCGGACGGTGTAGTGTTTGTGCATGGCAGCGGCGGCGGGCACCTGCTCCAGGGGAGGGTGAGGGTGGACTCAGTGCCCCGCACGGGTGCCGGCCGGATAGAGCCCACCCCCGGGATGTGACCTGGGACAGGTGAGAGACCCCGTCCCTGATGTTGGGGTCCTGGGTCACCAGGTGGGGTGGCGGTGCTCTTCAGAGTAAAAGTGAGTGGCCAGGACCCCCAGCGCAGCTAGATGGGGGAGAACGGAGAAGGGTTATGGGGGTGCTGGGGGGCTAATTCAGGGTGTGTGAGATTTCCCAGGTGGGTGATTGGGTGTTTGAGAGCCCCTGGGAGTTTCCAAGAGGCCTGGACAATGGAGGTGCCAAGCAGATGTGGGGAAACACAGGGAGCCCAGGGGTGGTGGAGTAAACTTAGGGGACCACTAGGTATTGGGGGGTGCACTGTGGGAGGTGTGGGCTGGCGCCGCAGGACAGGACGCGTAACCAGCGCGGGGAGAGCAGGGAGACCCCGAGCCGCCACCATCGCCACCGAGTGACTGAAATTTCGGGGCTGGTGCATTTAGGGCCTGAACGAGGGCGGGAGTGGGGAGGGGAATTCCGGGGGGGAACACATTCAATCAGGATGGGGCACATGGGGTAGAGCCTTAGCAGACTCAGGGCGAGACAGGGCGCACGGGCTGAAACTGTGAAGAGTCGAAAGCAGAAGCGAGAGAAGGATGCTGGGGGAGGGGGGAGGCAAGCGACGCTGAGGGGCAGAGGAAAGGTGAGGAGTTGGGGCTCAGTGAGGGTTGGGGCCCCCTGCCCGCCCACCCCTCGCCCAGGGTCCCCCGGACCTACCTGATGGCAGCCTCTTGGCCCCAGCTCCCCGCCGGCCCTGCTGAGCTGCTGCGCCAGCCTCACCGGCACAGGCCCCACTGGAGAGAGGCCCCGCTGGTGCCAGCCGCCCGACCGGTTTGCCCGCCCTGTCCCCGCCCCGTCCCCATCGTCCCTGGAGCGTCTGCCCTGCCTGCTCGCACTCAGCTCTCGAGGACTGGGGGCTGCCCCCTGGGCATGGTACCACAGGTAAAGGAGGGAGGTGGCCAGCCGGCAGGGGGCATGTGTCCTCAGACTCTACCCCTGGGGCCACGGGACTTGGGGGCAGTGGCGGGGCGGGGGGCTGGGGGGAAGCCGGCACAGGGATTAAGAGTCCAGGGCTGAAAGAGGAAAACAATCCTGGGTTCGAATGCCAGTTCCTCCAGGGCCCAGCTGTGTGACTTCAAGCAAGTGACTTCACCTCTCTGAGCCCCAGCTTCCTCATTGCTGAGTGGCCAGGGACAACCACTGTCCTGTAGTTGTCAGGAGGAGTCCGCTGAGCACAGCACCAGGCACTTAGGAACGCCCGCAGCTAACGTGCGCTGGCACGGACTGACCCATTTACCGGGCGGCTCTAGATGCTTCTCCTAGGAGGACGCTGGCATGCGGGTGAAGGCTTACCAGGGACTGCACATGGTTTATGCACCTGCCCCCTAGTTAGCCCCTTCCTCACCACACCCCGGCAGGGTGGCTGTGATGCCCCTTACAGATGAGGAAACTGAGGTTCCCAAGAGCTGAAGTTCCTTGTCTCAGTCCCGTGGAGGCACAGCGGGCGTTCTGGAAGCTGGGGTTTGTGCAGCGGGCGCGTGAGGCCCTGGATGCCCCGCAGATTGTTCTCAGAGCACTGAGAGCAGGGGCAGGGCTAAGTAAGAGGGTCTTTCCATTGTGCGTGGGGTGTGGGGTCTGCTCTCCAGACCCGTGTCCCTTCAGTTGCTGGCACGACGGGGGGAACAGGCACTGCCAGGGGAGCTGGGTGAGCTGGTGGGGATGGGACAGGCTACCACCAAAGAGCGCCCGGGACAAGAGAAAAGGGACCCCATCAGGGCCAGCAGGATGTCCCTCTAGGGGTCTGGGTGACTAGACCCTGCCCCCTGCAGCCAGAGCCAAGCATCCTTCCGTCTGCTGGGGGCCAGTCCCGTCTCTCCTCCCCAGGTCTTCAAGCTGCTTCACCTGGGAAGGTTTCCTCCCTGCCCTCCCCCAGCTGGGAACTCTGCCCACCCCCTCCCACCCTGCAGCAGTCCCGCCAAGCGGGGCGCAGGACTAGTATGTCTGAGTGAGGGCTGAGTGTGTGGGGGAAACTCCAGGACGAGCCCAGAGCTTCCTGAGGGCAGGAGAGTGCCGACCCTCTGCGCCCCCGTCCACCTGCCCACAGTTTAGCCGAATGACCAGTTCATCGGGGAAACGTCTGCCAGGCTCTGTACTGGGCAGAGAGACCCGGAGGGACCCAAGAAGTGCGTTGGAACCTAAGGAAACACACAGGGCAGGAAGAAGCTGTCTAAGGGGACCCCCCCTCGGGGGCTGTGGGCGCAGAGAGGGGTGGTGGTCAGCAGAGGTCGAGGGGGGTAACTGGGTGCCTCAGAGGGGGCAGGAGTCTGGGGAGTGGGGGGAGGGCAGCAAATGTGGGGTGCAGCTTTCTGGGCTGGGGCCAGACGGGCTGTCTTCACAGGACTCGAGGTATGGGGAGCCCGCACCCACCGGTGGGGTTTTAAGCAAGGAGATTCTTTCTCCCAGGGTGTCTGGCCCATGTCCCCCTCTCTGTTGGTTCTGGTAGCCCCAGGCCTGCCCCTGCCCACGCTCTGGGTGGCCTCAGCCCCGCTCCCCAGGAAGAGGGCCAGGACGGCCCCAGACTTGTTGAGGCAGGCAGGGCTGCCGGGGCCACCCTCCCCCACCAGCGGTGCAGGGCAGGAGGTGGAGCACCAGGGCTTAGGCAGACCTAACGGCAAGGGGCCTGCAAGGGACGGGAATAAGGGGTGGGGAGCCATGCAGGGGGCTCTGCCCCCCCAACCCCTGCAGGACCTGTGAAAGTCACTTCACAGATGCCCCTCCCCCGCAGCACTCAGGGTGACCCCCCCCACCTTCACTTCACATCTGGTTCCACACACAGAACCTTTACTGGACAGCTGCCATGCAGAGCAAGGGGCCCAACGTAGGGATCCCTTCACACTGGCCCCAACTTGGGCCACCTCGTTCCCAGGACACCCCGACCTCTCTGTGATACCCGCCTGGGGAGCACATGTGATACCCTAGAGTGGTTGGCCCCCTGCACCATCCCCCCTCCCACTTGTCCATCACCCCTAGAGCCCGGGGTCCCCAGCGCGAGCCCTCTGGCCACCCCCAAAGGTGGGGCTCCGAGGTCCCCGGGCCAGCGGGGGCTGTGAGGCTCAGCGGGGTGGGCTGCAGGCGGGGGCGCTCCTCAGGTTTTCTGGATCACCACCTGGAACTTACCTGGAAGAGAAGGGCGGGCTTCAGCTCAAGGCTGGGATGTGGGGGACTAGGCAGAGAGCACGGCTCAGAGCGGCTCAGAGCTGCGCCTCCCGGCCCCGCACCAGCAGACTGGGTGGCCTTGCGCTGGGCCTCGGGGTGGTCCAAGGGGTTGCTGCTCCCCGCCCACCTGGCCCGCATCCTATCACCGTGTGGGTGCTGAGAAGCAGGAAGGTCAAGCATGCAGGCTGCTGGGGAGGGGCCCGGCTTCCGGGGCACAGTGCTGCTCAGGTCCTGCCCACTTGGCCTCAGGTCCCCCGCCCTGAGTTGGCCAGGGGGACCAGCAGAGGAACAGACACCTCAGGGCGGGGGTGTGTGTGTGGGGAAGAGCAGAGGGCAGGATGGTCCGAGGGAGGTATGAAGCTTCAGCTAGTCCGATGGAGGCGCCTGGGGGTCAGGAGGACACCCCGCCAGGCCGGCTGCAATCCACGGGCCCTGACTGCCCTTTGGGGACCCCCAGCGAGCATCAAGCAGGCTGACTTCCGTCATGTCCACCCAGAATAACGTTCACAACCACTAGACCAGCTTTTCGTCCTTTGGAGGTTCTCTGCTCCAGGGCTGCTACACCTAGGGAAGTAGGCTGGGGGTGCAGAGGGGGCATCACAGGGCCAAGGGTGCAGATGGGCTGACTTAAGCTCTCAGCAGCCTGGCCCCGCCTCCCAGAGCCGGGGGAGCAGGGAGAGGAAAGTTCCAGAGCCCCACTTCACCGGAAGGACAGGGAGGGCCCCTCCCCGATGACTCACAGGTGGGCAGGGATGCCACGGAGGCGGTGACCAGGCTCTTGATGCCCAGGGTGCTGAGGGTGCCTCGCAGAAGGCCGCAGGTGAAGGTCAAGAACTGGGGACGGGGTTGGGGGGACACGTTACCCAGGGAAGCGGGGAGGCCAACACCCAGGCCGGGGCTCCACGGTGGGGGCAGCTCCTCCCTGGGGTCCTGGGCCATGGGCCAGCCCCTCGGCCTGAGGAGAGGCCCACTTTCGCGGGGGAGGGGTGCTGAGGAAATAGGGGGAGGTCAAGTCCAAGTGCCTTCCCTACCTTGGGTGCTTCCTCCAGATACTGCAGGCCCGAGGCCATCCGGATGAGGAGGGGGAAGCTGTTATCCTGTAGGACGTAGGTCCCCTGGGGACAGAGAAGAACCCAGTGAGGGTTGGGGTTGCCTGTGCATTTGTACTGGGGGACAGAAGGTCAGGACCCAGAGCCCCTTGCCCCGTGGGGCTGCGGTCTGGAAGGACCCGGGCCTCCGAACCCATCATCGTGGGCCTCATCCTTCCAAGCTCCAGAAGGGCCCAGGGGCTTCCTGAGCTGGGCCAGGGATCCCCCCATGGGGTGTGTGGGTCTTGCCCTCTAGCAGCCTGAATTCTGGAGGAAACAGCGGACCAGGACCTTCCTCCCGGGACTGGGGCTTCAGGGAGAATCTGCAGGCCGGGCCTGGCGCAGCGCAGGCACCTAGAGGGGACTCGGACCAGCTTGAGACCCACTGTCATGCCTGGAGAGATGCTGCCAACCACGGAGGAGCCTACTTGCTGCCCCTCCTGGGAGGCTTGTGGACATTCTGGAAACAGCTGTGACCACCCCCACCCCCCACATTGCAGCCTCCTGGGTTCCCTCAGAAGACTGGGCAGAGGTCCTGAGAGGGGTGGTGTTGCCAATCAGGAAACCTGGCTCTTGCCAGTGGGCTCAGGGCAGCCTGCCACTCCCACTCACACCCCCCCCCACCTGCCAGTGACTGCCGGCCTGTTGTGCCCTCCCTCGGGGGGCTCTCCTCCTGCCTCCTCTCGGTGTCAGGTTCCACCAGCAGTCGAGAAGCTGGGCCCGGGCGCGCGCAGCACACCTGGTGATTGGTACGGAGGCTGTCCATCTGCTTTTGGAACACGGCCACCCACAGGTCTTTGCACAGGAACTTGAGGACGTCCAGCTCCTCCCTGAAGGCCAGCGTCTCCTGGGGCAGCCTGGAGGGCAGGGGCAGCTGCTTGGGCCCGGCCGATGCTGTGGGGCCAGGAGGGGCCGGGATGGGGAGCCCAGGGTGAGGAAGAGGGAGGAAGCCCAGCCGGGGTCCCCTCTGGAGCAACACCACCCTCACCACCCAGGCCCAGGAAGGGACTCGACCTCCGCTCCTGCCTGCCTCTGGCCAAGGGCAGCAGGCGCCGGCTCTCACCTCTCTCCCAGGGCCTGGCCCACACGGAAGCCCATGCCCTCTAGGACACACAGGCTCATCTTCTGTCCCTAAAAGGTCAGGGAAGAGAGGCTCAGGGGCCCGTGGCCACCTCCACCCGGGAGCCACCCGGGATAGCAGCCGCAGAGGGTCCTCTAAGACCAGTGTGCCCACCCCTGCCCGCTCGGGGCTGAGGAGAGCCAGGAGGGAGCGCCTTCCAGGGCAGGTCCAGGCCTTCGGATGCCTTCAGTCCCTCAAAATGCCCCCGCAGATGCCATTAGCTCTAGAGACCAGAGCCCCCTTGCCTCAGGAAAAATGGGGGTGTTCCCAGTCACAGCCTCAGCATGCTTGTCACTGAGAACACCCGCCACTTATCAGAGCATCTCCAGTCCTCAGAGCACCCTGTGGGTAGGCGGCCCACCAGTCACCCCGGGCCAGGGCTCCAGGTGACCCGCGAAGGGGCCTGTATGGCTGCAGGCACGCGGCCGCAGCAAGGAGCCATAGGGCGGGGCACAGCCCCCCTGGCCCGGCCAGCAAGAAGCTCTCAAAATTGATTGTGATTGTCATGCCTGAACACATCCGCCAGGAACCCTGGGAGGGCCCCACAGGGGCTCGGGCCAGGAGATGCGCCCTCGGTGCTCAGGGAAGGCAGGCCAGGGGCCCACAGGAGGAGGGGACAGCAGGCGGGCTGTAGGTAGTGTCCGGGCACCCGTGAGGGCTGATGGCAAGCCCCAAGGAGAGTAGTCGTGTGTGTATTTCCTCTGGGTGTCCTGAAGAGGACGGAGCGGGGAGGCATCAGAACCACCAGGACAGCACAGGGAGGGAAGCATCCTGCTCCTCAAAGGGCCGCGGGGGGGGGGGGGGGGGGGGGGGGGCAGCAGTCCCCAGGCCTGAGCCCTTCTGGGTCAGACATGCCATTAGCACAGCCATGCCAGTGGTGGACAGGATCTGTCCAGCTAGATCCAGCTCTGAGACGCTGTCCTGGCCTCCTCAGCAGGCCTCGAGGGCCTTCCGGGACCCAGCTGTCCCTCTGCTGCCCTCTGCCCTGCCCCCAGGGACAGCCTCCCTTAGTCCAAGAGAGGTACCTCTCCGCTCACTCACAGGGCCCTGTCCCAACACCCGGAGGCTGCCCTTCTCCCCTCCTCTGGCCCAGGTTAGGTCCCCTGTCCCCATCCTGGGCCGTCTGTGGAGGGGGACCCAGCTCTGTGGGGACCCAGGCTGGCCGTCCACCGTCAGTGGTGGCCTCGGCATGCAGGGGCCACTCAGCAGCCCAACAAAGTGACAAGTGGGGATTCGAGCATGCACCGGCACCAGCTGCTTTGTACATACCTCTGGTTTAATCTGAACCACACTGTAAGGGAGGTCATAGTTCACACCTGGAAACCTGGGCTTGGAGGAGCTTGGTGACAGGCACCTGAGGCTACCTTGCACCTTTTAAACCCAGGCAGGGCTGGCTCCCAAACCTAGATGGGCAGGGGCCAGGGGGTGGCCAGGACGACACCCCTGGCTGGAGGCCAGGGCTGTGGCCCACCTCGGGAGGAAGTGCTGGGAGTACGGAGGCCCAAGCAGAGGTTGCCTGTGTCCTCGAGCAAGGTGGCCCTCTTCTCGGCCAGGCTTCCCAGCTCCTAGGCCCTTGCCCGCCATTCCGTGCTCCTCCTGTGGGGACCGGACCTGGTGAGGACACAGCTTCCTGCTGGCTTCCTGCCAGCCCTCTGGTCCCTTGCTGGCACGCCTCTGGCATGAGAGACAGTGAGGGGGACATGGGCCCTGTGCCCCTGCCTCCTCCCTGGGACAGAGAGGACAGTGTTAGCCATGCTGCCTCCCTCCCAGTGTCCTCGTGAGCATTAAATGTGGGCCAAGTGCTCCCAGCTGGGCTCAGCAAATGTTTCTGTCCCTGTCACTCACCGCCTCTGCATCTGTCAATCTCAGTGACCAGCCTGGGGTGGGAGGAAAGCCCCAGGAAGGAGGGGCTCTGTCCCGTGGGCTGACTTATTCAGCACCCAGAATGCTGCCTGCCACGCCCTCAGCCAGCCTTCTCTGCCAGGTGGCAGGGTGGCCGCACTCCCGTGTCCCCTCCCTTCTGGAGGTGAGCACCTCAAAGAGGCAGGCCCAGCCTCCTCTCTGAGCAAGCACATCTGCGTCCTTGAGGACTGCCTGGCACGTGGAGACTCTCATTCATTCCACAGACATTTCCTGGTGGCCCCCAGGGGCTGGCCACTGTGCCTGAGGTGTGTGTGGGGGGTGACAGGTGCCCAGGTGATGGGAACAGGGCAGTGCAGAGTGGGGCAGAGCCAGCTCCCCCAGGAGGGGGTCCCTGGGGTGCCTCTCAGAGGAGGGGGCAGGGAAGGGGAGGGAACGCCCAGCAGAGGCTGTGTACCAAGGCAAGGAGGCAGGGAGAGGGATGGGGGTGCGGCTCTGGCCTTGAGGGTGGGAGACAGCGTTGACAGATGGGGATGGGGGTGGGGGGGTTGCAGACCAGGCGGGGGGGGCGCTGTGGGAGAGGGCACACCATTCTGCCCCAACCACGTGGGAACTAATGGTGTTAGTGGCTTCAGCCCAGGTGGGGACATCGCCAGGAGAAAAGCCCCAGTCTGAATGCTCCTGGGGTGGGGGGGCGGGCAAAGCGGGAAGGGGGTGGGGTGGCATCGCAAGCCCGGGTCGCAGCCAGGACAGCAGCCCTCAGCAGACAGCCCAGGACTCAGCAGGGTCCTCAGTCGGGCCAGGGAGCTCCAGGGGTGGGGGGCGGTCTGGAAAGGTTTCCTTTCGGTGAACTTCAGACTGCCTGGGTTCAAGGGCCGGCTCCGCTGCTTACTGACCTTGGGCAAGCTATCTCATGGCCCCGAGCCTCAGTTTCCCCATGTGTGAAATGGGTCTGATGGCAGGCCCTACCTCACAAAGGTGGTGTGACCCACACTGGGCAACAGTCGTGGCACCGCCGGACTCTGGCCACGTAAGGGCCAGGGCAGTAGGTGCTGAACTGGAAAGATCCAGGCGATGGGGACGAACAGAAGAAAAGGGAGGGGCGGAGGATGAGCAGGTGACAGGGGAAAGGGTGGAGGAGGAAGGGAGGGGAAGCCCCAAGGCTCTATCCCCGCCTGCCTCCCCCAGTCCCTACAAAAGCTCTTCAGGGATTAGAGGCTTATCATTCTCACGAAGCCTGGGCGGGACTCTCCTCCTCCCTGCCCAGCCCAGAGCCAGAGCCAGAGCCAGAGCCGTTCTGGGCTCCCACCACCCTCCCTCCCAACATCAAATGAGTTTGCACAACAGCCCACTGAAAGGAAACAAGATGCAGGAACAGAGGGAAGCCCCTTCCAGAAGGCCCTCCTAGCGGCCCCCCAGCTGGGAGGAACCGGCAGCCACAGGGGCAGCCCTGGGAAATGGGATGTACAGTAGTGAAAATAACAAAGGGAGTGGACAGACAGACACATCTGTAAGGGGGATGAAGCCTCCCAGGCTGTCACACTGGCACAGAAGTTCTAAGTCCTATGGAAGGGACCCAGGCCATCCAATGCTCATCCGAGGGCCAAGAAGACGCGTTGGAATCGTGTGGAAGAAGGATCACAGAGACAGTAAGAGAAGAGGGTGCTCCCTGTAGGGAGGCCCAAGCCCTGAGGAGGAGGAGGAGGAGGAGGACGATGACGACAACGACAAGGAAACAAGCAAACTGAGCCCTGGGCTCGCAAAGAGCATCCAGGACTGGGGGTGGGCGGCGTGCCAGGCTCCTTCCGGTCTCTTCCACTGCCCTGGCCCTCAGTGATCAGTGCAGGCCCAGCTGGGGGGCCTGCGGGACGAGCTGCCTGGGCTCCTGCCTTAAGAGGAGCATGGGTAGAGGGCACGTCCTCACTTCCCCAGGCGCATGGCCCCAGAAGCGTGGAGAGTGAATGAGTAAGAATGAGCATGCCGCCCACCCTGTGGGCCTGGACTCACCTCCTGCATCCACCCAGGTGGTCCCAGACACCCCCAGGTCCTGCCTTCTCCCCCCCCAACACTCCTAAAGCACCCCCAGACTTGATTCCTCCCACCCCAGGCTGAGCACCTGCCTGGGCCCCAGGCCCCTGCCGCAGCCTGCCTGCCGCATGTCCCTTCAGGCTCATTCGCGTGGCCTGGGAAGCCGTTCTGGAAAGTAGGGCTGCACCCCGCGGCCCTCAGCTTAAACCTTCCATGGCTCCTCTAGGGACAAAGCCTGAGCTCCCATGGCTAGCTCCCTGGCCTCAAGTGCACGGCGCCCTCTCCAGGGCTCTGTCCTGGGGATCCACTCTGCCAGGACTGGGACGGGGGGGGGGGGGGGGGGGGCGGTCCTCTGGCTCTTGATGAGGCCGGGGGCTGCACCTGACAGCTGCCCAGGCTGGCACAGGCACCAGCTGGGCTTGGGTCGGGGAAGGTTCGGCCCCAGCAGGTCTGCTCCCGGGCTGCCTGCCAGAGCTCCCGGTCATAGCTGACTGACACTCTCTGCTCTGCAGAGGAATGAACTCCTCCGGTTTCCTTATCTTTAAAGCTGCTGAGGTGGAGAAACCACTGCCCGCTCCTCCCTGGGGTTTTCCTGCTGAGATAACAGAGTCTCTTTGACCTCCTGACTCCTCTGGCTAGTCTTGCCCTCCACCTGTAACCGTCCAGAAAAATCCTTTCAGCAGCCACAGATGACCACCAGGCAGGACATGGAAATCTCCAAGACTCCTGGGCATGTGTGTCTGGGGACAGAGGAACAAGCCACCATGCCTGTGCTCAAGGAACTTGGCAGCTGGTGGGGGGGGGGTAGACTGGAAGCCACAGGCAAGCTTCAGAGCCCGAAGCCTGCATCCTGATGTTCCCCTCGGATTCTCGCCCCTGCCCCCCACCCCTGCAGGGAAGGACACCCTCTGTAAAATGGGACAGTAGTGTCTACCTTGCAAGTCCGTTCTGAGGACTAAATCCAACAGAATACGGTGCTGGGGACACCAGAAGTACCCAACAAGGAGGCCTGCATTCGGTTCAGACAGGAGACCTGTTGGACCAAAGAGAAGGAACAGAAAGAGGAAGAGAGAGGAGGGACCAGGAGTGGAAGAGACAGGGCTAAGCAAACAGCAGTTCTCTCTCTCTCTCTTTTTTTAAAAAGATTTTATTTATTTATTTGACAGACAGAGATCACAAGTAGGCAAAGAGGCAGGGAGAGAGAGAGGAGGAAGCAGGCTCCCTGCTGAGCAGAGAGCCCAATGTGGGGCTCGATCCCAGGACCCTGGGATCATGACCATGACCTAAGCTGAAGGCAGATACTCAACCGACTGAGCCACCCGGGAGCCCTAAACAGCAGTGCTCCTGATATGGCCCTGAAAATGGGGCTCCCAGGTGGCAGGCACGTGGGGGGAGCTGCTGCGGACCTCGCCCCTGGCTGCACCCCGGAAGCACTGGGGGGAGCTCTGGGGCAGGACCCCAGCATGGGACTCCCAGGGGCAGCTGGGTCCTGGGCCCGTTTGTATGCTTTGAAAGCCCATGGTGAGCACTGCTGAGTAACGTGGCACTTCCCACACTTGCTTGACCACAGAAACCCATTAAAATGCTCCCGGAGAGTGCCAGGGAAGGGGCCCAAGTTTACAACGCGGGCTTTGGAGGTGGGAGGCCTGGTTGCATTCCTGACTCTGCCACTTGAGAGCCAGCACTCCTGTCCATCAAAGCCTCGGTTTCTCAAGCTTTGAAGCCTACAAAGCGGGGAGGATTGTGCTGACCTCTGTGGGTCAGGAGGAAGATCAAATGAAAATCGGGAGTGGGAAGCCCAGGAGCGTGCACAGGAAACATTCATTTGTGGTAGGCACTCTTATCGTCACAAACCCCACCCCAAGCCTTCCAACAAAGGGGGTTGCGTCCACTTCAACAAACCCATGCTGAGGACCTACTGTGTGCACAAGACCTACTGTGTGGTGATCAATGCAGACCTTGTCCGAGCCTACACAGTGCACGGTCTGGATGGTGGGGGGAGGACGGATGTGAATCGAAGGCTCATGTGGACCCATAATTTAGATACATACTTGGGCATGATAGGGCTGCCAAGGACACATGGGAAGGGGCTGTAAGAACGTCCCAAGGACACCTGATTTGAGCTGGGGCCTCCGGGAAGGCTTCCCCAAGGAAGCCTTTGAGCCAAGGTCCAAAGGATTAATCCATGTGAATGCAGTGAAGATACAGCAGGTGAAATGAGCTGAGGGAGAAGGGAGGAGGCTGGTACAGGGGCAAAGAGGGGCCTGGACTCCAGGGCAGGGGTGGGGAGAAGTGGCACACACGTTTTAAGAGAATGGGCAGGGCCCGCTTGGGGGCTGCTGGTGAGGGAGAAAAGGCTGATGTCGGGGATACCAGAGTTTCTGGCTTGAAAATCAGGCTGGATGGGGTACCTCAACACTGCAAACCAGCACCCCCCCAACACACATGCCAATGGGCACTCCCTATCCCATGCTCTATCTTTCTCATGGCATTTCCTCAACATACTAGACTTTATTCATTTATCTTAGTGCCACCCCACCCCCCGCAACTCCAGGAGGGCCGGGAGTTTTGTAGGTTTCACTGAGGAATTCCCAGAGCCTCCCACAGGGCCTGACACTTGGTAAGTTAGAGACAAAGTGTGCGGAAGGAATGAATGAACTGGAAACTGTTGAGAACCAACACCCTCCTTGGGGCTCCTAAACCAAAAAATCTAAGCGAGGTAAAATGTCCTGCATATGGATGACGATGATCATGCTAAGAATAATAACGAAAATAAAACTCATCACGGCGATCACTTCTCAAGCACCTTACTCTCTCCCCCACCCTTTCTTTTTGGTAACAGATTTTGTAACAGGAGCTCCCAGGTTCTGGGGGCGGATTAGGTGCTTTGACATCACCCTAAGGGCTTTAAAGTTTGAGTCATTTTATTCCACAGAAGAACCAACTTCCGAAATGCCAAGCACGCTACTACCTCCGGGCTTTGCACCTGTTGTTCCTTTCCTTCTGGAATGTGCTCCACTCACCCCCCACCCTGCCTTAACCACAGGGCTAACTTCCTACAGTCTGTTCCTTGAAAGGCTTTCCTCCACCATCCCTATTCTTTTCATGACTCTACGGAAGTTTGTTTTTGTTTTGTTTTGTTTTTTTCAGATTTTACTTATTTACTTGAAAGAGAGTGAGTGAGAGCACAAGCAGAGAGCACAAGCATACCCAGGAGCGGCAGAGGGGGAAGTAGGCTGCCCGCTGAGCAGCGAACCCAAAGTGGGAATTGACTCCAGGACCCTGGGATCATGACCTGAGCCAAAGGCAGAGGCGTGATGGACTGAACCACCCAGGCGCTCCTCTATGAAAGTTTTCTCTAGGGAACTTCTCACTAGGTAGTGGCGTATTTTTGTTTGACTCCCCTATAAGTTTCGCAAGGACAGGGAAACAGTGCCTGGAATACAATAGGCGCCTAATAAGTGTTTGTTGGAAGAGTACATGTCCCTCTCTGAGGCTGAGGTGCTGTTATAATGCCCATTTAATAATGAGGAAACTGAGGCACGCAGGGGATTGAGTCACTGGCTCCCACACCTAGTTAGTGGAGCAGGCGGGATTCAACCCAGGCAGTAAGTCTTTGGTACACGTCCAACAGTAGTAATTATTATAATTACTGCCTGCTGACTCTGTGCTAGGCCTTGAGGTAAGCTTTAGCCGGAGATGCCTCGCTCGCTTCATGGAGGAGCGAGCCTGCGCCCAGCGAGGCAGGGGCGGGGGCGGGGCTCGACCCGGGCCGTTGACCCGCCCTCGGCGCTCCCCAGGGCCTCGATCCGCGCTTTCCGCCGCGGCCCGCGTCTCCTCCCCCCCCGGGGCCCGGCGCTCACCCCAGGGCCAGGGTCCGAGTGGTGCGCCCACAGCTCCGCCACCATCTCGGTATGCAGAAACTCGAACAGCGCCGCGTCCGCCATGCGCCGGCCTCGCGCCCAACGACCGTCCAGCGCTTCGCGCTCTCATTGGCCTGGCTGGGCAAGCCCCGCCTCCTGCACCAGGTGCGAGCCCGCCCACCCCCGCCTCCATTGGTGTTTCAAGCTAGCCCCGCCTACCGGGCTCACATGGTGCGCGCGTGAACCCGAGAGGCTTAGAAGGAGGGCCTCTTTTCATTGGCCACACGTGACAGCATCTCCGCCCTTCTCCTTCGTCTCCCGTCTATTTCCGGGTTGCCGAGCGTTTCCATTGGCCGAATCGCTGGTAACCTGAGACGAACCTCGCTTTTCAAAATTTCTATTCGCCCACTCGCCGAGCAGCAGAATCTGGAAGCACCCGCCCAGATGGTTTCCTATTGGTCCTACCTATACTCACGTGACTCTTCACTTCCCCACCCCCCCAACCACACAGCTGGTTTTGGGGGTTTGCTTTCCTGGAGCGGTTCACGTGTTTGGCCGCCATGGCCGCTCCTAATTCGGTAGAGACAGCGCGCTTCGGCTTCGCTGCGGATCCTGCAGGCTCGGAGCTTCGGTAACCAGGTAAGGTGTTCGGTGATACCGCGCCCCCGCGCCCCCGCGCCCCCACTCGTGCACCCTCCCCGGAGTCCAGCGGGGCTGTCACCCTTCCTATGACCCTGGCGCTGGTCCCTGAGCAGCTGGGGAGCCCGTGTGCTTCCGGATCTGACCCGGGCTCGGAGGAAGGTGTGGAGGGTGTGGCCTCTGCTAGGAGGCAGAATCGGAAAGAGCTGGGGTTGGGCTTCTGGGAGCTCCGGCCTCGGAGCCTGCATCTGTCTGGTCCTCAGTTTCCCCGTCAGTGCACAGAAAGGGTGGCGGGTCCATTATGTCTGGCAGCAGGGATGATGAGCCCGTTTGCAGAAGAGGAAGCTGGGGCCCAGGCAGGGAACGCAGATGGCCCCAAAGCGTTCGGCCAGTCAGTGAAGGGGTTGGGAATCCGGAACCTGCGCCTTTTAACCACCGCCAGACGCCTCTCATGCGGTCCCTTCGCCCCTCTTCTCCCTAGTTCGGCGCCATGGCGTCCCAGGGTCGTCGGCGGAGGCCGCCGCGGAGGCCCGAGACGGTAGTGCCGGGGGAGGCGGCCGAGACGGACTCGGAGCTCTCTGCGTCCTCGTCGGAGGAGGAGCTGTACCTGGGTCCCTCGGGCCCGACGCGTGGCCGCCCCACGGGGCTGCGGGTGGCCGGGGAAGCCGCGGAAACCGACTCGGACTCGGAGCCGGAGCCGACCGCCGCGCCGGGGGACCTGCCTGCGCTGGTGGTGCAGCGGGATACGGCCGGGGAGGCTTGGGGCGCGGAGGAGACCCCGGCGCCGGCCCCTGCGCGCTCGCTGCTGCAGCTCCGGCTGGCCGAAAGCCAGGCGCGGCTGGATCACGACGTGGCGGCCGCGGTGAGCGGCGTGTACCGTCGCGCTGGCCGCGACGTGGCCGCCCTGGCCAGTAGGCTCGCGGCCGCCCAGGCGGCAGGGTTGGCGGCGGCCCACAGCGTGCGCCTGGCTCGGGGAGACCTCTGCGCGCTGGCCGAGCGGCTGGACATCGTGGCCGGCTGCCGCCTGCTGCCCGATATCCGCGGCGTTCCGGGGACCGAACCTGAGCAAGACCCGGGACAGAGGGCCTAGCGGGAAGCCACTACCCGCCTGACACTGCGCCCTGGGGGTAGTCCTCAAGGCCTCTGGGACCTGGTCCTGTACCCTGTGTAGCTCCCCTGCGCATCTTGCTGTCACCCTCCAGGCGAGCCTCGCCCCCTGGATAATGCCGCGTGGTTGGGGGTACGGGATGGGAGTGGTAATATTGTGCGGTTCTACCCTGACTTTAGCATCTGGTTCCAACCCCCAGCCCCCGGCCCTGTCTGTTCCCTGGTTCCAAGCCTGTCCCTGAGGCTTGGCTCCAGCCCCTGGTAACCAGTAGTTCTTGATCTTTCTGCGTCGTGGGGTCTCACCTCTCTTTGTGCTCTGCCTTTCTTGACTTTGGGTTCTACTCAGGGGCCGGTTCTTGCTTCCCGCAGGAGCCCCAGAATCTGGTGCATCCTCCTTCACTCCCTTGGCTCTGCCTCTGGTCCTAGATGCACCTCTGAAATTTTGTACCCTCCTACTCCCCCCCGCCTCCACTGGCTGGGCCTTGGCCCACGTTCCATCTCCTGGTCCTGGTTCTGCTGTCTCCTCGCTTGCAGTCCCTGGGCTTAGTTCCTCTCCTGGGCCCCATCCCCTTTCCTGAGCCCAGCTGTAGCTTTAGGATCAGTTTTGTGTCTTTTGCCTTCCTCCTTCTGCTTATACTACGTACCGGATGATGAGCTTTACAGACACCCACCCATGGTTTCCTTCATCCGGTGGAAGGTGAGGCCCCTTCCTGACCCAAGGGAGTCCTCCCAATTTTCCAGGCCCAAGAGAGCACCTTCAGCAGTCCCACTAGACCAAGTTGTTATGTCGTCCCCACCCTCCTAGCCAAGGTGGCATTTTGTGTCCAAGTTCTAGATGCAACATGGGTCTCCTCTTGACTCTCCGGGCTGGCAGTGGCACTCAGGGCCTGATGGATCTTCTTGGTGCTTTCTGACCCCGATTGGCAGATAAGGACCACACACACAAAGTGTCTGTTCCCAAGGTTGGCGGCTGGAGGCTACAGGGACTTGGATTTCTGGCTCAGCTCAGGGTCTGGGGTTAGCAGACTCTCTGCCCTTTCTTCTGTCCCCAGCCCTGGCCCCTAAGTCCCATTCACATTTATCTGCCTCCCGCACTTTGTAATCCCAACCCAAAGCTGAGATCTGAGCCCCGCCCCCATAGAGAAGTAAAGAAGGGTGCTCTATGCCGTCTCATTAAAACTCAAAACACTTACTGCTATGGAGAATTTGTCTTGTCTCCCCACCTAAGCGGGGTAGGTTTGTTGAAGATTTCTCTGAGAATGGGGGCCCTGGGAGATCTCTCCTACCGGGCCTATTAAAGGTAAGGCTTTAGCCAGGAAATCGGGACCCCCTAGTTTTTTTTTGCCTGGGTTCTGCATTTACTCACATTCTGTTAACTCAGCACACAGTTACCGAGCATTTGCTCTGCGCCTTGTCCTGTGCTAGGCACTGGGTGGGGGGGGGGGGGCAGCAGCCAGCCCAGGCCCTCACAGAGCTTACAGCCCACTGGGGGAGACAGACATTAATAAAATAGTCTCCTAAATAAATGGGTAGTTTTCATAATTGCAGTGTACACTTGAGCTGTGATTTTTCTGGCACCATGTTGGGTGCCCTGAAGAGTTGTGTGAGGGCAGAGCCGAGATCTCTCTGACCTTGTCTGGGCAGATGGGGGGAGGACACGTGGCTTTGCCAAGGAAGTGATGCGTGAGTTTGAGCTGAGCCCTGATGCTGTAAACAGGTGAAACTGGGTTGAGTGGAGAAGAGTTTCCAGGGAGGGGGAAGGGGGGGACAGCATGTGCAAAGCCCCTGAGTCAGAAGGGAGCATAACCTATTTAACAGAAGAAGGTGGCCGTGTTCTGTTGGAGAGAGCAGTAGGGCAGGGGTGGCAAGTAGGTGGGGTGAGTGGTGTTCCCGGCAGAGGCCAGATGAGGCTGGGCTTTTTTTTTTTTTTTTTTTTTTTGACAGAGAGATCACAAGCAGGCAGAGAGAGAGGAAGGGAAGCAGGCTCCCTGCTGAGCAGAGAGCCCAATGCGGGGCTTGATCTCAGGACCCTGGGATCATGACCTGAACCAAAAGCAGAGGCTTTAACCCACTGAGCCACCCAGGCGCCCCTAGGCTGGGCTTTTAAACCAGGTGAGGACTCAGCTTCTATCAAACAAGCAGAGAATGGTGCCACCGAGTATGTGTTTCGTGAAGGAGATTGTTGGACTGTGCTTCTGTAGGGTGCCTGCCTCGGGGAAAAATACCCAGAAATGCTGGTTTAGAAATTAACTAGGACGCCTGGGTGGTTCAGTCAGATAAGTGTCTGCCTTTGGCTCAGGCCACGATCCCAGGGTCCTGGGACCGAGTCCCATATAGGGTTCCCTGTTCAGCGGGGAGCCTGCATCTCCCTCTCCCTCTGCCCCTCCACTCGTGCTCGCTCACTCTCAAATAAATAAAATCTCTAAAAATAAAATAAACATCCTCTAAATGTGCAGTGGAGCTCAGAAGAGAGCATGGGAAGTCTCCTCAGCCCAAACTGCAGAAGGAGCTTCAGACTGGGGGCCCTGACAATATTTGTCCATAGCAGAGACCCAGGGCCTTGGAATTTCATGGCTGCCAGACCCTGGGCCAGGCTAATCAGAGGGAAGCAGAGACCCCTACGTAAAACTCGGTCCCTCAGAGATCCACCTCCCATGAGAGCCTGTGGTAGAAAAAAGGCTGATTGATACCATCGAGGCACACCCAGGAAGCTTGCCCATCTCCGCTTAGGCTCCGGGTGGAGGGAATGTTTCCTCGAGGACTTTGCCACCACCCGCTTGACCGGGCTATAGATTTACCGCTGCGGAACAGGCCAGGAAACCCCCAGCATAGAAACCAACTGAAGGTGAGCTCTGGCTGAAGCCAGGGGACCCATCCCTAAGTGGCCTCGTGGTGAGATAGAGCAGGTTCAGGTCACCCAGATTTCAGGACACGATCGAAAACTGCAAAGCACACCTGAGGATAATGTGATGAGCTAGTCTGGGTGGCTGCTTCCCTTCCCCAGATCTCCCCTTGGAGAATCTGGAAGAAAGCAAGGGTCCCGTTTGTGTGCTAAGTGTGCAGACAGCCAGCAGATGGGGGTAAGATAAGCCTAAGGCCAGAGGTCTATCTGTGGGATCCATTTGGAACGCCTCAAAGGGCAGCGTGGGCCCTGCGGGGTTACCCGAGCATGCTGCTCTCCCCTGGGAATTTGGTGCAATTCACAAAAGGTGCACCAGGAAATGATGTCAGAAATGTGGCTGCGACAGCAGAACAGCTCCTCTGCAGCTCCTTTGCTGTTTGTTATTGGCACACGGGTCCTGGGATCTGCCACTGGTCGGTGCACGCCAGAAGGTCAAAAGAAACAGGGCCATAGGGGCCAGCGCGTAATCCGACCGCTAATTGCTCAGCACCCTTTGGCATCCGTTT